GGGGGGGGGGGTCTGTTAAAGTGCGTCCAGTGAGTTGAGCCCAGCGATGATTTATCTAATGAGCCAAAGCAAGGGTTAAATTGGGATGTGGGAATGGGACCGATCACCACCTCCTCCTCCTCCTATCTCCCCACTCCTACCACCCCACCCCTGCACTCCCTCCTCCCCTAAATTGCTGTGTTTTTCTTTTTTTTTCTCGAGGATTTCGCCTTTGCTTCCCATCCAAGGTGCCCCATCCCCTCTCTGGCTGGAAGCACTTGATAACACAGTAATTCTCTATCTGTCACTGGCCGGCAGGCTCATGTCTACCCACGCTTGCATTTTTAACCAGCATCTTTTCACTCAATCAGGCTGGCATGGGATCAAAGAGCTAATTAATTTTAAGTCCTTGCCCAGGTCATGAACGGTGACAGGCGCTGAAAATACAGCACTGCCCCCCAGAGTGCGGCTAAATGTTAAAATACTCCAAAGAAACTATTTCTTTTGCTTTAGCATTCTTCATCATTCTCATTTTCTTCTCATCATTTATTTTCATGTGTAACTGTTCAAGCTAAAAAATAAATAAATGCATTCAAAATGAAAGAGTGCATTTCTTTCTGTGAGGCCTTCTCTAATAGTTTTCTCTCCTTTAAATGTCAGGTTATGATGCTTGGTGTGGAGTTGCGCATGGCTGTACTAGAAAATTGGGGATGAAAATATGTGGTAAGTTCGCCCTTTTTTTCCAATATTATATTTTTTTCTGAATAAATCTGCATCTCTCAATGATCGAAGCTAATATTCTACAAACATGTAGGCTTCACGGCCTGCATCGTTTTACTCGCGGCTCGTTTGGAAACAGCGCTGATTGCTGCTCTAATTAGATTTTTAATTCCCTTTCTCGCGAAAAAAAAACCCCGCAAGACTAACCAGCATTATGCAGTTTATTAAATTACCCCCACCCCCCCAATCTCATCTCGCCATTTTACACAAAATGGGAAAAAATGCTTCAGCTGCCAAAAACCCATCAATTGATGCCCGAGTCAGAGCTGATGAAATTAAAGAGGGAATTATGCGGGATGGATTTTCCGATTTCCACCTTCAGAGTCCATTTGAGCCTGACACTAACTAACCAAGGACAGCTACCATACTGGTGAATGACACGCACCAGTGCGCGCTACAATTATTTTTTGGTATCTTTCACCGACACGTTTTACTGGTTTTTGTTATGGTCATTAAATAGAATCCACAACTACGCGCCAAAATAGAGAGAAAGAAACACAAAAACAACGATTTCTTATTTAGAATTAAAGTAAGACTGTAAATGTCAGAGGTTTTTAGCTGTATTATTTTATTTGTATTCATATATTCGTATGAATGTATGACTACTTGTGTTCTCCGCTGCACAGTAAAGTGCACAACGTGTCTTAATAAGAATTTACATCCACTAAACGACAGCCATTTGTTTTTGCCTGACTGGAGTTTGGTGCTGATGTCACTGGCTTCAACCTCCCAAAGAGGTATCAAACCCCACCCGTCCGTGAATAGGACAGAATGGGAGTCTCTTCTCATTCAAAATAAAGGCAGAGAAAGGACAGAGTGAGAGAGAAAGCGGGAGAGACAGATAAACTGGAGAAACACGAAAACAGAAGTACTCGTTATTGTGCATGTTATAGTGGAAAAAGCTGCAGCTCTCATCATGTTTGGGAAGTGTTTTCATCCTCCGGACTCCTCTTCTTCATATTTAGGATTCCTGCAGAAGAACAACAATCTGGAGGAGAGGAGCAGGATTGTGAGTTCCTTCAAGGAGCGCACAGCCAAGAACCTGCTGTCCTGCGATAACAGCGGCGGAGAGGCGCGTTTCAGGCGAACAGAGTCCGACTTCTCCAATCTGTACGCCAGAGGTAGGCTTAAAATACAAAGAAAACCCGTATGTTCGTTATATTTTAACATCATCATTATATATTAGGCCTAAATTCACCCATAAACCTGTGGGAAATTCTTGGATTCTTGTGCAAGAATAATTTTCTCAAAAATGTCTTTATTGAATTTGATGGTTTAAGAAAAGGAAAACATAAAAGTAATAAGTTGTAGGGAGATCCTGAGGTTTCCAAAAAATAAAAATAAAATTGTAAAACATGTAAAAATCAGAAAGAATAATTAAAAAAAGAAGAAAAAAAGATGAACTCAAAAACACAAATAAATGCAGATGACCTTTGTCATTTTTTAGAGCTGCTACCTGCCAAAAATGGAGAGGAGCCAACCATGCAGTTCTTGCTGGAGGTCGTGGAAATCCTCACCAGCTACATCCGGAAGACCTTTGACAGGTCTACCAAGGTCCTGGACTTCCACCATCCCCACCAGCTGCTGGAGGGCATCGAGGGCTTCAACCTGGAGCTCTCTGACCAGCCTGAGTCTCTGGAGCAGATCCTAGTGGATTGCAGAGACACGCTGAAATATGGAGTGAGAACAGGTATGAGGCCTGCAGGCTGTAGCGCTAATCAATAACTTTCATTAACTCACACAAATTCTTAGATAATAAAGTGTTTTCTGAGTATCTTTATTGCATCTTCATCAATCGCAGGTCACCCCAGGTTCTTTAACCAGCTCTCCACCGGATTAGACATTGTGGGGTTGGCAGGAGAGTGGCTTACATCTACAGCCAACACTAATATGTGAGTACTGCAATACAGCCGGGATCAGCGCAATAAAAATGTGATGTTTTTGAAGTTATTAGGTTCATTAGATTCAGCCTATTTTAAAGCTCTTTTTTTGTACTCACTGTTTTTAATGGCCCATGAAGAGAGAGGCTCCCAGTAAGAGGAATACTTCAAGGGACATACAGTAATTACTGTGTTTGGCAGAGGAATGCCCAGCATGCTCTAATAGATTGTCAGTCAAGCAAGAAAATAAAGAGCACAAAAGAAGACATTCAGATGGCTACTCACTGGCAGTATTGTCGATGTTGTCCTGCGCTTAGGCTGTGGTCACATAATTCAGCCCTGCAGGCAAACTAAATTGCATATTGATTTGCATTCACAGTTTACATGTTGTCTTTGTTCCATGTGCTGCTGGTTCCTGTGACATAACAATGCCGGGAGAGAAAAATGAGTCTTTTCCCTTCACAGGATCGGTACAGCAGCCATTATTGGGGCTCTGCTCAGTTTTGCTATAGTGCAATCAATCCTGAACGTGAGTTTTAAATGACTCTTTGTCAGAGAAGACTGTGCAGGTGGTCGCAGTCAGGGCTGTAGTCTGTGGACATGTTGGACTGCATTACGTCATACTTTATAGACTGAGAAGACTGAGCTGTGTTTTGCCACCCAATGCGTTCAAAGGGGAAGGAACAAAACATACATAGCAATAGTGATGCATTTGCATGCATCAGCGTAAAATAAAAAAGATGAGCGATTAGTTTTGTTGGTAATTTCTGCAAAATCTAGCCGGTGAATAAAATAACAGGTGGAAATACTTAAACATTGCAGGTTTGTTTATCAGAGCTGGAAGGTCTGAGGGATGTCTGATCAAATCAGTATTGTACATTGTACCAATGTAACAGGGCGAGCTGTATCACTGAGCACCCCATCAAACAGGACTCACAAATCAGTGTCATACTGAAAATGTTACCAAGCTTAGTGAATATGTTCATATAGAGCACGGTTAGATTTCTGTCCACAAATGAAGTTATGCAAGAAAACAAATTTTTATAAAGCAAACATCACAAATTTCTCAGTCCCATTCCAGATATTTATATTTACTGACATCTTCAATACAGTCAACGTTAATGGATACATGTCAGTGCACCTGTTTGATCTGTAGTCAAATATCATTTATTTATATAGGAGAAAAAGGACACCTTTATTATTCCTAAGGGGAAATTTATTGTAAAAAAAAACAACAAAAACAAAACATCAAACGGGTATTAAATATTCAAAAAAGCAACAGTATGAAATTACTTTTTCCAGTCTATTTTTCCTGCATGTTGGAATACAGAGACATAAACAAGTTAAACTCCTTTGATAGAGGGAGGCTAGGATCAGCCGGGAGGTCATTCGGGGTCACAGTGTAATGATACCTTAAAGTCTCTTATTGGGTTTTTTTTAGGTTTAGTGACCCGAACGAGCTGAGAATATAATAAAACATTCTCATAAAAGTGCTATCGACATGAAAACGACAAAGCTTGTGATAAAACTACATGTGCTGGTGATTTTTGAACTTTAGGTAGACATCATCCACCTGAACGTCAAAGGTCAGCTTATGTAGAAATCTGTCATGATCCTGAGAAGTGCCGAAGATGAGACATGCAGAAGCGTCGGATGCCTGGTTTGATTTTAGCCATGGACCTTGTTTCCTGTCTCCTATTAGAAATTAAATGATCTTTAAAAAGAAAAAGTGCTTTTACATTACATTACAGTCTCACTGTTAAATGGCAATACATGCATCTATCAGCTAAAACCACTTATATACTAAACAGACGAGGAGGGTTGGCAGCATGGACAAGTCATCTGTGAATCACACTGCTTGCACTCCAGATGAAAATTGGACTTTGCTTGTGATTAAGCTACATAAAAAAGCCGACAGAGGGTTGTAAAAAATGGCTGTTGACATAACTTAATTGTTCATTAATGTCTTATAGATCAGTCCATTGTTAAGAACAAATTATGGGTTGCCAAACTGAAAAATCCCTTTGCCTCGTTGGTCAGCTTAGTTATTCTCCTTCAGCACAATAAATGACGGCAATTTTCTCTTTTTTTTTTTAAAGTTTATAACCGATCTGTCATCATTTCTGAGCAGAGCTCATCCTTCACAACAGATTACCTAGAGATTAGTGGAGCTTTTAGAGGGTAATAGATGTGAAGGTTTATAGTAGACTAATGCTTTTCAAAGTCTTCTTCCCTCTCATTGGTTGAGACATCAGTCCATCATGTGGCTTTCAAAAAGTACCCTCACCTTTTGTGTTGCTAGCGACACCCCTGTGGAGGAGTTGAACCCACGGGTGGAGGTTGCTTACACACTAATTTACCTTTATTAATTACTCTATCAACCTTAATTACCCCTGGCAGATATTGACTGACACTAATAGACTGACAATCACATCCTGGTCTTACATAATCAGAATGAGTGCGCCTCGTCTGCATGAACGAATCTGACTTGTTTATGTTTTTCCCCTTCATGTTGCCATGGGTCTACACATGTTGAAGATGCTGTGAGTTACAGTGTGACATACTGTAATGTTCCTAATGATTTAGTTACTGTCTTTACATGAATGGACAGATATTTGTGCAAGCAGAAGAATACTGGTTTGGAGAATTTGGATGAGTCTTTTTGTGCTGCAATTCCAAATTGGCTGTGTGCTTCTTTGAGGTTGTTGGTTTTCATCTTGTTTCGTTATATGACAAATCGTATACAGTCAGGGTGAAGAGAAAGTACACCTTCTTTCAGTTACTAAATTTTAATAACTTTAATTTCAATATGACCGGGCCATTGCAGCATCTTGATTCTTTTATTTTTTACCCATTCTGTTGTAACTTGTCAATTTAGGCCAAACCTTAGGTGCTGGAGCCTCACATTTGTCTTTAGAATACTTTGGAGGAGTTTGTGTTGGACTATGTTTGACAAACCTAAATCCTTACCCCTCCACATCCATGCTTGACAGTTGGTATGAGCTGTTTGTGTTGAAGTCTTGTGATTTGTTCAAATCGAACTTTGCAAACCTAGGACACATTGCCATGTTCTTTGGTCACCAGGAGAGGCTTTTTCTTGGCAACCCTTCCAAACCATACTTGTTCAGTCTTTTCCTAATTGTACTATCATGAAGTTTAACATTTAACATGCTACCCATAGCCTGTAGAGTCTGAGATGTAGCTCTCTGTGGGGGGTTTTAAGTTTGTCTGAGCATTGTGTGGTCTGACCTCTGGGCGAATTCGTCCACTCCTTATAACCCCTGATGGGCACATATTGGTCTTATCCTTCCAGAGCTGCAAAATTTCCGCTTAAGATGATCTGCTGTGGTGACCCCTAAAGGCTAAAAGAAGAAGAAGAGCTTTATGGCATACAAAAATAAGATGAATTTCATATTGTTTTTAAGCAGCAGCCAAGTGCTGGCATCTCCAACAACCGTTTTTTCACCCCATGAGTATAACAGATGACTACTTTCCTTTAAAAAATACTCTTTGTTCTGACCAAGACTGGCCCTTTCAGTGTCACCAAAAATTAACTTACTGCTCATGCTGTATACAATTAAAGTATCCAAATGCACTTCATGCTGCCCCTCACCTCACAACTGAGCTGATGTTTTGTTTTTTAATCTAATACTGTCCATCTCTAAAACATTAATTAGAATTAAAGACTGTGCTACATTTTTAATCGGAAATCAAACAGCCGGGTTTCATTTACATGTAGCTCTTCAAGTTTCTCTGCTTTTGGTTTGGTTCAGGTTCACCTACGAGATCGCCCCCGTTTTTGTGCTAATGGAGCAGCTGACTCTGAAAAAAATGAGAGAGATTGTTGGCTGGCCAGATGGAGAGGGTGATGGGATATTTTCTCCAGGTAAAATCTCAACCAATGATCAACCTCCAATGGAAGCACATGTGCATGAAAACAGTAAAAATGCAATCATCAAACTATACTCATGATGCAAAGTGTCCCGTTTTAAAGACGAAAGAAACAGACATTGGGATTATAAAATTACAAATGTGTAAAAAAATAAAAGGTGAGGTTAGTATTAACTGCTTCATATGCAGCTGGGTGCTTTACCATTATCAATGCATCATAATTATTTTTAAGTATGTGAATCTACAAAGTTATTAGTAACTGTCAGGGACAAATAAAGAAAGTAGTAGAAGAAGTTTTGCCTTTGAAATATCCATATTATCACATATGTCGCAAATTTTTAAGCCATGTTTTGATTCTGCAGGTGGAGCAATTTCCAACATGTACAGTGTGATGATTGCCAGATACAAGTTCTTCCCAGAAGTGAAGACCAAAGGCATGGCAGCTGCACCCAGACTGGTCCTCTTCACCTCAGAGCATGTTAGTCAAACACTAACGGTGTCACTGAATATTAATATCTCACCACCGGAGCATATTTACGTTGGGTGGGCAAATAAATATCAGCATCATAGTGATGAGTGATGAACTCCTGTCCCTGCAGAGCCACTACTCCATCAAGAAAGCAAGCGCAGCTCTGGGCTTCGGAACAGAGAACCTGATCCTTTTGAACACAGATGAAAGGTTTGTTTTGTTATTTAACCTACCTGCACATAGTTTAGGAAACATATTTAACATCTAGATGAGATACTACTGCATATCCTCTTCTTTTCCAGAGGGAGAGTCATTCCTGCTGACTTAGAAGCCAAAGTAATAGAGGCCAAGCGAAAGGTAAATGTCTGCAGCAATGACTCAGACATCGCCCTGCTAACATTTTTATTCCCTCTGTTCAGCTACTGCTTAAAATAAGAAACACTTACATGAGCTGCAGAATTTGCTTGTAGCAAAGAAAACACTCGGTATGCTGGAGCAGTGAGGCTATTTCAATAAAGTTAATGCTTCTGTCTGTTCACATACGATGCTCCCTCTGCTTTTAAGTATCTCTTTCCTTCAAAGGCAAAGTGATGCGTAGACTAGAAGAAATGGGGAAGCAATTTTGCCCCAACAATAGGTGCAGATGGAAAGAGAGCGTCATTTGAGCAACGTGTTTTAGCCGATCTCTTTGATGTCAACAATCAGGCAGAAAGAAAAGAACATAACAACCTGAATTCAACCAAGAATTGTCTTTTTCTTTTTTGTGTGCTGTGCCTTTGCATCGTAGGGGTATGTTCCACTGTTTGTGACTGCCACCGCTGGTACCACCGTCTACGGAGCCTTTGATCCCATCAATGAAATTGCCGACATCTGTGAAAAGTACAATATGTGGCTTCATGTGGATGTAAGAGAATATTGATCTCCAAGGAAAAAATGAACACAAAGCTGTACAAATCAGCAGTCTGCTGTGGCATTATGATCAATATCAATATGTTCAGTGTTATTACCATGTTGTGACCCGTGCAGGGTGCGTGGGGAGGAGGTTTGCTGATGTCCAGGAAACACAGACACAAGCTGAATGGAGTGGAGAGGTAAATGAACACATCGCCTGATCTTGCAAACACGGGTTTAGACGAATTTCTTGCACATCTGCTTCACTACTCAGCCTGTAAAAAGCAGCATCTTTTCTATATTATTTAAGACAGTCATTTTGTCTAATGAGCACAAATCAAGAGCTTGCCTACCAGGCGTTTTCAAGCTGCATATAATGAGATAAAAAAATCTCTACGCTCTAATTTAACAAAGGAAGCGCACTTTACTCAAAACACACAAAGAGAAAGACAAGAGTCAGGCGATAAGAGGGCCAAAACAAGAATCTGAATGCCTTGTAAAGCACAACAAGCAAAGAAAACAAACCAAAAGTTCTGGATAGCTGTTTCATGACGATCTCAGCTATGTCGTGTTAGTGAAAAGAGGCATTCTTGGTGACCTCATTTATTCTTTCAGCCACTTAAAAAATTTAGGTGCTGGAAATTATGTGACTTCGAGCTTTTCAGAGAAGACCAGCAGGCCAGAATATACAGGCACATACAGATGAGTAGCATATATTGTGATAAATGTGATCAAATTTACAGAGAGAGAAAATAATGAGGTGCAGAGCCTTAAGACAGCCCATATGTCTTTTTCTTTCTTTTAATATTATTTGTTCTGTCATTGAGAATTTTAAACATTCCTGTCTCAATAAGATGTAAGAAGAGTGCAAGTCTTAAAAAAACAGGCAAAGATTTTGAAAAATGCTTCAAAACTTGTCAAAAGAGGCACTGTCTGGCATTCAAGAAGTATTTTTTATTTGCTTTTTGGGAAAGTTTGAAAATAGTTGCATTGAACGGAACTGGGAAAACCCAGAGAGACACATCAGTAATTTCAAAGATACTAAGAGACACCATTTGATTGAAATCAGTGTCTTTAGTAGAGTGTGTTTCTTTGGCCAGAGAGGAAACTGGAAAATCTGTATTTTAGTCTTAAGCCAAGAGTGCAATCTGTTCTCAGCTCCAGCTACAGATTGCAGACTCCATATTTCAAAATGCAAACATGCAAAATTATTACATTCAAATCTTGAGAGGGTCGGTATCTTTTTACCTTTCACTACCAGACTCCATAAGCACACACACACACATTTCCACACCCTCACAGAGCTGTGTTTACTGTTTCAATATCTCTGCAGGGCCAACTCAGTCACCTGGAACCCTCACAAGATGATGGGAGTGCCACTGCAGTGCTCTGCCATTCTAGTCAGAGAGCGGGTGAGTATGTGTTTGTTTCACTTTCCTGCTCCGCACCGTACCACCTCTGCACACACAAATGAATCTGTGCACTTTCACCAAAACCATCTTGTTCATGTCTCATCACGATCGCTTCCGTTGCAGGGACTGTTACAAGGCTGCAACTCTATGTGTGCTGGATACCTCTTCCAGCCAGACAAACAGTACGACGTTACATACGACACCGGTGACAAAGCCATCCAGTGTGGGCGGCATGTCGATATCTTCAAGTTCTGGCTGATGTGGAAGGCAAAGGTGTGCTTTAATCTGCAGGGCTTCTGTCAGCTTTGCTGCCATATGCAGAAGCAGATGGTAACAGCTTCTTTTTTTCCCCTTACAGGGAACAGTAGGATTTGAGCAGCATATTGATAAGTGCCTGGATCTGTCAGCCTACCTCTACAATAAAATCAAAAACAGAGAGGGATTCAAGATGGTGTTCAAAGGAGAGGTGAGATGACTGTTTCCACAGCAAACATTTTAAAAACGAACATCCAGAGATTCCCTGCAGCGCTAACTCGAACAGATGAAAAATGTCTGTGCTTTATTTTATCCGAGTTTTCTGCTCCACAAAAGATATTTTTCATTTGTGATGAATAACCGCAATAATTCAGCACTTGATGCCTTAATTTGGTTTTGGGATTGATTGGGTCGCTTTGCTTTGCTGACATGTTGACAAGAAACGCTGAAAATACAGAAGGCAGCTTTTTATCAGCACTCATTACAAATGTTGTTCCCATTTTCTCTTATCAGCCGCAGCACACTAATGTCTGCTTCTGGTACATTCCACCGAGCCTGCGCAGTTTACCTGATGGTGAAGAGAGACGTCAGAGGTTGCACAAGGTAATTACTCCTCAATCTGCAGCTCCCCTGCTCTCTTAGATTGATTTACGCACCACTTTTCTGCCAGGTTTTATGGATTCATAAAGTCAAATATGAATATGTATACATATACATTTGCTTTGAATGTATTCTCTCATTGACCACTTTGTTAGGTACACCTTGCCAGTACCAATTTGGTCAATCTTTTACTTTCAGAACTGGATGAATTAATTGTAGTGTAGATTCAACAGGGTGCTGGAAACATTCCTCAGTGATCTTGGTGGTCTATTGATGAGAACACACGGTCGCCTCAGACTTTTCAGCTGAACATCATCGATGTGATTGAGATCTGGTGACTGGTGACTTTGACTGTTCTTTAGCAACAACAGCCTGAACCAGCCATACAAGACAGAATGGATCTATGCTTTAATTTTATTTACACAAGATTCTGACTCTACCGTCTGAATGCTGCAGCACAAATTCATCAGACGAAGCAATATTGTCCCAATCTTATATTGTCAAATTTTGGTGAACCTGTGCAAATTGTAGCCTCAGTTTCCTGTTCCTGGCACCCTAGTGTGGTCTTCTGCTGCTGTAGCCCATGTGCTTTGTGGTTCAACATGCTGTGTATTCAGAAATGCTCTTCTGCATACCTTGGTTGTAATGAGTGGTTATTTATGTTAGTGGTCACTGTTGCTTTCCTACCATCTTGAAGCAGTCTGGTCATTCTCCTCTGACGTTTGGCCTCAAGAAGATATTTTCACTCACTGGATATTTTGGGTGTTTTTGACCATTCCCGGTGAATTCTGGAGATCGTTATGTGGGAACATTATTTGTTTCTGAAATACTCAGATTAGCCCATGTGGCACCAAGAAACATGCAACATTTAAAGTCACTTAAATCGCCTTTGTTTGTCATTCTGATGCTCGGTTTGAAAATTCAGCATGTCGTCGTGACAATGTCTACATGCCTAATGCACTGAGTAGCTGCAATGTGATTGGCTGATTATACAGGTGGTGTGGCAGGTTAGTGTTTTGATCATTCTGAACTTTTTTTTTTTTTTTTTTTGCAACAGGTGGCTCCGAAGATCAAAGCAATGATGATGGAGTCTGGCACTACGATGGTGGGTTACCAGCCACAAGGAGATAAGGTCAACTTCTTTCGCATGGTCATCTCCAACCCTGCCGCCACCAGGTCAGACATCGATTTCCTGGTCGAGGAGATTGAGCGACTGGGGCATGACTTGTAAGAGTCATACCTGTATTTTTTTTCTTAACATTTTGTCTTTTCCAACTCTGGAGAGACTCAGGCTTGGCTTCGTATCCCGTCTATCTCCTCAAGACATATAGAGATGTTGCTTATGGGTCTTTTCTGCTAATGCACAACAAATAATAACGCCATGCCCTGTGTGTTTCTGTCTCTTGTCTTTTGCAACCGTGACATATACTTAACATATTTGCACAACAGGTTCTCTGAGTGAAAAGGTTTAAGCACAGTGGCATTCTTGATAAAAACATACATGAAGAGGAGATGAAGCTGAGTTTAACATGGGTTACTTTTTCAATGAAATATGCAATAGCAAGAATGTCTGAACACTTGATGATTCTGTATATAGCTGCTATGAAAAATGAAAGACTGGTCAGGATCTAAAATTTAAATATTTTTTTCACAGATGACAGTTCGGGGCGCTATATAGTATATATGTACTATATGTGATAATTATCATTCGATAAAAGGTAAATATTAAGACAGTTGCACCATGACATTTTAGCTAATATTTCCCTTTGATATACACAAGTGGGAATATATATAACACAGTCACTGTAACAGGTTCTGTACTTGGTTGCTGTGTTTTTAGAAATTTTTGTGTAGATTGTGTAAAGTACTGTTACATTGCCTTTGTGCCAAATGTGTCCTAGTTTTACAGTGAGAAAATCCTATATGTAAATCAACCATATGTTATGTGGTAGCTACATGACTTTATTTATATTGAGAGATTATAATTGTGAATAGGTTGTCTGCTATTTGTAACCTGCCTTCCTTCCTTTTTGGGAAACGCTGCTGTATTATATCGCAATGTTTTGAATAACAGTCATGTCTTTTAGTGTATTTGTGAACCAAAGAAGAGTTATGAATATGTACATGTTCCTTGTTCTCCCTTACAGAGAGACTCAGATGTTTATATAAGAGTACTTCATTTAATGCCTTTAACTTTAGTGCAATCAGTGTTGTGTAACCGTGCAATGTCATTGTGATTCACTGACTGGCAGTGTGGCCACTACTGCCGGTGCTTTGTTAATGATAAAAAAGCACAATGCTAAACCTTGATCGTGGGGCAGCTTTGATTCGAGGGACACATGATTGTCTGTATTATAATGTGTGGAGTGGAGTAAAAGTATAATATGCAAACTTTTGTCTGTCTGAACGTCGTCGCCATAGGAATGTTTTTGTGTTGAGAAATGGGGATTGTTTATCATAGTATGTTTTGCCTGAACAATGAAGTGCACAGTGTTTGCTACTATAACAAGCCTTATTAAACAACTGTACACTCCCGAATTAGAGGGACGCAATGTCTCTTGTCATATTCAATGTAAGTACTTTGGCAAATCATTTGCAAAGTATTACTGGTGTATCTACAAGGCTAATAAAAACACAAGCTTTAGGGTGTCTGTGATCACAGTTCTTTGTCAGAATGGCTTTTTTAGGTTAACAAAACTGGTGTTACATCTTTATTTCTTTAGGTTGAACAGACCCCACTGTTGTACATACAATAATAGTTATAATTATTATTATTATAAAGTAAGCATTTTTCTTCTATAACAATCCAGTTATATTCAACAAACATCAAATCCCTTTACCAGAAACTGGGCTTCCACATTGTGCACATTGAGGGAGAAAAAAAATACAGAAATGATCTCAAAGTATTACAAATACATCAAATAAAGAAAAGTTGTGTGTTTTATGGTTATGTGGATTGACTATATGTAATATACACTGCATAACTGAGACATCCCAGTGATAATAGAAGTCCAAAGTGGTCCCAGTGGGTAATAAATTGATTAAGAGCTGTAACCCCCTTTACCTGGAAGACTGGCTCCACATTCCAAACTCAACATCAGAGGTCTCTGTTCAGAAAATGCAGTGCTGGGAAAGCTACGGTGCTTCTAGATAACCCAAGCTTGAGGAAGACACCCATACACCACCAGGTTTTTTTGATAGAATATGCAGTAATGTGCCTTATTGTGTGAATGCAGTTGTAGTCAAAATGTCAAAAATGTAGTTTGTGTAGTTTTGTCTCCGTACACCATCACAGGAGATTTTTAATGAAACAATTAAGATATGATTGAAGTGCAGACTTTCTGCTTTATTTCAAATTCTCACGAATAATGGGACAAATGACTGACAAGCATTCTCATGGCCAGGTGAGGCGTTCTTGCTTGTACGACTGAAATGTATGTTGCCATTATTGTAAAAGTCTACAATCAAGAGAATCCTTCATGAATGGAAATATAGAGGGTTTACAACAAAGTGCAAGCCAGTGGTTACACGCAAGAACAGAACGACCAGAATATAGACTTTGCATCTACATATAAAAGATCCTGCAAGGCTCTGAAAAAGAATCTTTGGACCGATGAAATCAAGATTCATTTGAGCCAGAATGATGGGAAACAGCTCATGATATGAAATTATACCACATAATCTGTTAAACATGATGGAGACATGAGCATGTAGGGCTGCCAACAGTATTGGGTCACTAGTGTTCATTGATGATGTCAGTGACTAAATAGGATTTTCATCCAAGTATAAAAAACAATCCTTCTGTTAGTTTGTTCAGTCAATTTGAATGATGTGTATAAAAATCTCTGTGATTCCCAAACATCTAGAAAGATAATTGTCCAACAACTTATGGACCTATTGGTGTCGCCATAAAGATGCACTTTAAAGTAATAAACAGTTTATGGACATAGTAGGAACACTAAAATAAATGATTGAAACAGATGATAATATTATACAGTAAAGCTTAATTTAACAACACTGTAAAATAACGGTTTAATGCTGGACAGTCCAGCTGCCAGTATTTTACTGTAATTTAATAGGATATTTTTACTGTGTATAGTGCTGTAACTTTATTGTCACTTAGATGACAGACAGGTTTCTAGGATATCTCATCAGTTCATCATCATAATGATTTTTCATCATGTTTTCACAAAAGAAAAAAAAAGGCCTCCAGGATATTCACGGTCCAAAGATTTATTGAATGCATCACAATGGGTAAGACGTAAAGGATCACTGATAACTAAACTGAACATATGAAAAAAAATGTAGCAGAATATTTGGGGAAAAGAAAGAGAAGCTGACATGATTTTCCCCTTTATTTCTTCTGGTACATCTTTCCAGTCCACTTAGCTGTCACCAGTCGCCGGTCAGATTAATCACCCTGGAGGGACTTTTTATTGGCTGACCATCTCACAGCTGAGATTTCCTGAGCGACCCCTGCCGATCCTTTCACTTCTCTCATCACTCACACTTTTATCATAAAATGCATTAGACTGTGATTTCTTAACATTTTCCCCCCGCAGAGCCCATTTCGAGGATCTGCCTGGCTGTGTTTTATTTCGACTGTTTTAGCGGCTCTCCTCCCTTCCTCCACCCGGCAGACGCTGGTTCTTCGTTTCACGCTTCAGTGCAGCGATCATTACAGAGCTGATGTCAGGGGTCGCTTTGTAAAGTTACAGAGAGCAGAGAATTAAAGGAATAATCATGTATTTCAAAAGAAATAATCACTTCTTGCCACATCTACAAGGGGGAGAGCTTTTTCTTTTGGCTTGCAGCTCTATGGATGGGGGCATTGTTGAAGGTTAAATGTGCCAAAGGATAATAACATGGCTAATTTGGGAGCAGGTGCTGGAGAATGTTATAATGATTAAATGCAAATGAAACCCAATCTTCAGCTACTATAGGCTGTTACAGTCTAGTAACTCCGGACTGGATGCTCCTCATCATCAGACAAGTAAGACTATCCCATTAATACATGTAATGTGGAAAGAGGAGGTTTATGGTTGATTTACACTATAGAAACAATATTTGAAGGACTTTGATCCAATATCAGTAACTCCATCAGTTTTAATTATAGGCATAATTAAACATTGGTGAAAAGAAGATTAGGGGGAGTGAAATAAAAGGAGGATGTAGCAGCTCTGTTTTCGCAGTAATCTGTGCAGTGTGGCCGGCCCGCCTCTCTAAACACCAGACCGTGAAACACTTAATGTCTGTCTCTGAACTAGTCTGTTCACCCTCCATTTCACACCTGGCACACACGCGCTGAGGATTCAGCACTCGTTATGAGACTGCAAGTGAAGTGAAATAAAAGGCTGTGATCATTCTCTCTGCGTTTTTGTTTCCGTGGTTTTGTTTTGTTTTCTTCATTTCCACAGCGGACACATTTTTAGTTTAGTTGAATATTTTGTGGTTAATGCAGAAGTTTCCTCCTACACCCACTTTACCCATCCAACCCCCCTCAGCTGCTGCTCCCCTCTCTTATATATCTATGATTCTTGTCAGTGGTTTCCCAATGTGCCAAATATATCTCCCACCCCTGGGAATCACTGCCACATTAGCTTCCTGATAGATACTGACAGTCCCATTGTGTGAGGCAAGTCTAATGAAATGATGATGATGATGATATTGACTGCAGGCTGCTTGCCAGCCCTCCCCCTCCCCCTCCCACTTCTTTTTTCTCCACACAACATCAATACACACATGCAGCAAACAATTTATGTTTTATTATCAAAAGTAAAAATGTTCCTGCTTCTATTCTTTTTGGTTAAGGGCGATAATCCTGTGCTCCTCTCTCCTTTAAAAGGTGTTTATGTGCTAATGAAATCCGTGCATGCTCTCAAATTCAAGCCAAACGGCAGCCTCGCTTGACAACAGGGTGATAAGAGAATCAATTATCAAACCTTGGCGCATTTCACTTCTAAAGTAATTATAATGGGTTAAACTTATCTAAATAGCTTGCTCTTATTGACTGCGCGCCCCCAGCTTGATTAATCCTGGCAGAAAGTAGAAAATTAATAGTGCAGAGACTGTAACTTGCTTGTCTCCATAGCTGGGGAGTGTAAACCTAATGTGGTGCTTGTTAAAATTGAAAGGCTGCTAGTAAATGTCTCTGCTGGACATTTTCTAAAGGAATAAGCGCAAGCCCTGGAGCAATTACAAAGCAGCTTACCAAGTTTCCCCATGGTGATTGCTACCACGCATGCTAGATGAACTAAAAAAACCCTCGGCAAAAGTGTTGGCGCTGTTTTCTGCACAATACCACACAGTGAACCATCATAGTTTTCCTCTTTTGAACAGGAACAATAGTGCGGGAAACGTGTGTCTGGCCATGCTGCTTAAATTAAAATGATAAACAGCAACAATAATAATAATAACGCAACAAAGGCCTGTCCAGGTATTTGGCTCCACTGCTTTGTCATCTTAACGCAGGTCTTTCTAATTCACTTAGCATTTTATCTCTACCTCCCAGAACAGCAGAGTACATTATGTCAGCAGAGAGCATGTATTTATTAGATGCTTTCATGCTACAAAAACTGACCTCTCGCAGATGCTCGGCATTAAGCAAGTAACCCTGACAGTAATGGCTTATTATGTTTGTAGCTCTGGCTTTGCTTTCTGTGTCGAAATGCAGCGTGCGTGTTCATGTGTGCATGTTTGTGCGTGTGTGTGGACACCAGAGAGGGGCCATTAATGTCTTCCTCACCAGCTCAAACTAGGCATCTGTGGTAAAAACGCCTGAACAAAAGGACGGTGCATTTCTTTGCAGCTTTAGCTGTAAATTCGTTGAGGGACTGAAGAAGTATAAATCTGAGAACCAGATCCAGATCAGTGATTGTGCAGTTTTCAGGCGTCAGCAAGCTGCTGCTGAAATACAGCGTTTATTTATCTGCTTCTGGAAGGAGCAAGCGTCAACATGTAAAGTATATTTCTAACTGGCATACAAGGTGACACGAGGAATCGCTGTGTACAATGAAAGGTTTAAGTGTGAATGAATGGTTTATTAGCATGCTGTTGATCACAGTGCATGATAAATGAAAGGGACATGAAGCCAAAGGCCTTCAACTTCATAAATAGCATAAAATAAGAAAATAACATAAAATAATGATAAGTAATCATAATAATAATGAGAATAAGTAATGCAAATAGTCAATACATTACAATTTGGCCAGTGATAAAAATGGTAATCACCAGGGTTTTTTGTTTTTTTGTTCCAGCTACTGATATCATATTGCTTTTAAATGGAATTTGAAATAAAATGCTTATTTACTTAGAAGATTGAACACATGAGTTGTTTACATTTTTCTTGAAGCAATGATGAAGTCTTATATTCTAGCAGCAGCTATATTTGCATAAACTCCTCATGGCCATTTAACTAATACCTTATAAGTTTAAAGTCACAGTCATCTAACAACAGAAAAAATACTGATTGTCTAAGAGAATAAAATGCATAACTAAAAATTTTTTTCTTTTACACCAGCAAACAGAATTCTTACTGAGCATCTTATTGTTTGGTTTAATTACTAATGCAGGAATGTTGCTCTTGCAGCCCTGTGATGCTGTTCTTATAGTCTGCTTGGAGCTGAATGCTTTCTAATATGACATGCTGATGTTTAGCAGGTGGAATGCTTACCATCCCTAAAATGCAAAGACTGAGCAGGATTTTAAGAAGTTTTTGTATCATTAAAAAAATATACATGTGAATGTTGACAGCTTACGACAATTACTGCTACATCCCCTTTTAGTCCTAAACATAAAGCATAGCAGAACCTACTGGGAACATTAGTAATATTAGCATTTGTGTATGTGTTAAACTTTTCTGTTGTTTCCTTGGAAACGTGTGATTTTTTTTTAAAACTTGTTATACACATTTCAGTATTTTCATAATTAAGAAAATTGAATTTCTTTTCCATTTTCACTGTTGCCTAATTTTTTTTTTACATGAAATAAACTGTAAAATCAGAATTAAATTGCAATCCTTATTTGTATTTTTATTATTTCAGTATAAAGAATAAAACATTATTCTCAGAATTTATTAGAGTAAAGCCCGACTTCCTGTCTTACATCACAATCCAGCTTACAGCCTGCATAGACACACGATCAGGCTGAGCTCTTGTGGATCTGGAGACTGACAGGATAACTGATGAATGATGAGGGGAATAACAGCGCCGAGCAAGTTTATTTCAAATTATTTGATAAGAGCTGCTGCACTACAGAGATATTCAAATTTATATGCATTAATCTACTCGGTGAGCTCAAGCTCTTTATAGAGCTGATGATCTCTCCCATCACAGTTTGATCATAGAGATAGTTTTTTTCATCTTCGGTCTCTCGTATCTGCTCTGGCAGAGCTATACTGAAATGAAATCAGCCATGATGTGAATAAACTGAGAATTCTACAGACATTTCTCAGTCAAGTTGATGTTACAGAAGGTGACAGGACAGGATCTTAAACTGTAGCACCGTGCTCTTTGGCAAAGCATGACAACTGATACTGTGTTTGCAGAAGGCAGTAATGCAGCAGTAATGCAGCAGTAATGCAGCAATTCTCCAATTTTTGTAATTTTAAGCCACAAAATGTATTGAAATACAAATTATCCACAATTCAAAATCCTCAGCATTAGTCAAACAGCACTGCAAACTAAATCCCTCTATCTTCATGGTGCATGTGTTGGTCATTTGCAAAAGAAGCCTTAACTGGACTACAGCACTTTTTTTTTTAAATTACGAATGTCAAAATGTGACCTCAAGCTTAATTTGGTGAATCTCAGCATGAATAAAACATCCCCAGACAAACTTTGAAAGGCCACAAACCTTAAATATCATAAGTCACTTTATTTAAGAACAGCAAACAACAAGTGCAAACAACGACACCAGACATGATTTGAAACTGACAACCCAAGAGATTCAAATGATTTCAACTAAATGAAACTATCACTAAAAACAATTAAGCAAACACACTGCACGTGACAAGCTTGAAACTGGGTGTGACGTCCTGTCTTATTTCAGTCTTTCCTGTTCTCCACACTGTCTGGTTTCCTAATCTGAAAATGTCAGTGAGAAAGAGGACATTTTTAGTCATGAGTCAAGTCCTGCTGGTGAGGTAGACTACGTGATCTGGAGGTGGAAGAGGCTGTTTCAGACTTTCAACTGTGCACACAGAGCAGAATCCCTTGTTTTCACAACCAGCTGGCTCATGGAGGTGTTACCAGTCACACTGCTCATGTTGAGACATGACCTGGGCTTCTCTTGTTTGACTTGCCTCACAAGAAAGTGGCTAGATTAAGTTAAAAGTATATATCTGCTGGGAGACTTTTCCCCCTTCATGTGCTTAACCTGCTTCCCCTCAATGCATCGCATATGTCATGATTTATATTTTATAACCACCATGGATTCAGACTACTTGCCCCTGGGTTTTGCGCCCTTAATAAACCCGGTTATTTAAGAATATTTAATATTATGCTAAAATAATGAAGGCCAACAAACATATTTTGCAAAAGCTCACAGGCAGGAAACATCTTATTTGAAATTACACCAAAATATCGTCCTCATTAGGTCCCCCTGCCCTGAAGCACCCAGATTTAAAGCTTAAAGCCTCTCCGCCCATAATCTTATTACTTTACAAATAATCAGACCTCAAAAGACACAGATGATGAAACCCTGCTACCACAGAGGGATGCACCTCCCGCTCCTCCTCCTCTTCACTATCATCATCCTCATGAGCGGAAGTCCTGGGAAACCAAAGCCACAGGAAACGCGGCATGATCCGAGCCGCCTGCTAACTAATCACCCAACTAACCAGCACAGGTGTCAGTCCCACCCGGGGAAGCATGGGAGGCTCTCCGAGCGTCGAGATACCAGGTGGAGGCAAAGAGGGATACCACGTCCTCAGGGTAAGAGAACATTTTAATGTGGACGTACGGACTGTGACCTCCTGTTAGCCCGCGGAGGAGCAGCTAACGATAGGATAGAAGGGTTATTTTTCCTTTAGAGGAAGCGACCTCTACTACTGGCTAAATGCTGATGCTAGTAGAGACTTGTGTTTGACACAGACCCCGAGGAGGACTCAGACACACCCAGAAATCTCTTCACATAGCTCGTTGTCTTTATTGTAAACGGCTAGCTGTCCCCGCCTTTGAATGGAAGCTCCTGCTACGCCCACTCTCTAGCACCAACCGCTGATGTGTGAGCCTGCTAATAGCCTCTCGGTCTACACTGTTTAAATGATATATATCCATATTAGAAACTGGACACGGTTAATTGTCAATCAGACGTGCAGTTTGTGAGACAATCAGCAGATGTCCCCTCACTCCCCAGCAGACTGGATGATGCCAGAATAACCGGTGTGGCTGCTATACGTGATTTATGGAAATGGGTGTGTGTGACTGTTTTCATTTGAAAACGTTATACTCCACCAGTCAGTCCAAGCTTTTAAAGAGTTTCATCACCAGATTACGCGCAGGGAAAATGGGCCACACTAAAAGTAAAATGCTAAATGTTTGCATTTTGTGCTTCAAAGATCTGTGTCCAATCAGACCCACTGATCAAGGATCATTAAGAAAAAAGGATCACTTTGAACATAATTCATTCACAGTGGGTCATTAGCTCAGTTTGTTTTAGAAAAGCCTTTAAAAATTCTTAAAAAAGATACTTTGAATACAATTCAGGGACACGAAGTTGCAATGAGACGACAACAACCCATAAAAACACTTGCCCCAACAATCAGGTGATCAGCTCTAGGTGTACCCTAGATGATGGTGGGAAGGATACTAAGAAAGGGAGGAAGGAAAATAAACACCTGGGGAGTGGAGATAAGAGAGTGCATCACAGGCAGTCCCACACCAGCCCTGAACCTATAGCGGCGTAGCAAAGGGATGGTTTTGGTGGTTTTATCAAAAAAGGCCAGTTTGAAGCTAATGTTAAATGTAGAGAGGATGCCTGTCTCCTAAATCTAAACCGTGAAAAGAAAGAGAGCGGCTTGATACCTGAAGGCTCGGCCTCCTGTTCTACTTTGGAAACTTTTGGTATCAGAAGTAACCCAGCCATCTGAGAGTGAAGTGCTCTGTTAGGTTATTATGGTAATATGAGGTCCTTAAAAGACAGTATGCCCTGAATATTCAAGACTTTGTACGTGCGAAGGAGTAAAATAACCAGTTAAGGCTAGTTTCCAAGAAGGAGACTAATGAGTCTTCTTGGAAACCTCACTTGACACACTAGTCTTAAACCAGTGAGAGGAATGTTAAACTACACAGGAGTGTTTGCCAAAACAGAGATGTACAGGTTTTCATTGAATGCTGTTCGTCCTTTGTGACAAGGACCTGTGTGCAGATATTTAAAAGACTGGCATTAACCTGCTTTACTTGAAAACCTTCTGACCGCCTTCTAATCTGTAGGTGCAAGAGAATTCTCCCGGTCGCCGTGCGGGACTGGAGCCATTCTTTGATTTTATCATCTCAATCTGCGACACTCGGCTGGTGAGTTTCCGGTTAGGTCAGTGTTAGTCACGGATATTCCTAGGAATCATTTGGATATACTGGTTTCTTTACAGAACAGGGACAATGACACCCTGAAAGAGCTGCTGAAGATGAACGTGGAGAAGCCCGTCAAGATGTTGTTGTATAGCAGCAAGACGCTGGCAGTGCGGGAGACGACGGTCACGCCCAGCAACATGTGGGGCGGCCAGGGGCTTCTGGGAGTCAGCATTCGCTTCTGCAGCTTCGAGGGAGCCAATGAAAATGTTTGGCATGTCTTGGTGAGGCTGCTTTTTTGGGGGGGGGGTTTCTTATTTATTTCTGTGATCTCATGTGTTGATAGCTGCATGTTTTTGAGTCCAGGAAGTGGAGCCGAATTCTCCTGCATCCCTGGCAGGTTTGAGGCCGCATGCAGACTACATTATAGGAGTGGACACCGCCATGACTGAGGTGCCTGCTTAAGATTTTATTTTTATTGTTTTAATGCAGGAATTAAACCAGGAACAAGTTAACCTGATGTGTATTTTTGTGGTTTTTAAGCAGAGCGAAGATCTGTTTTCCCTCATTGAAACACATGAAGGGAAGGAGCTAAAGCTCTACGT